GTTTCAAGGAAGAAATTCAATATTGTAGTGTCTATGATTATTGCTTTTTTTTGTTTTTGCAGAATTCATTTTTTAAAGAGCATCAGGATTTGGTAAAATCTTAGCCAGTAAAAAAGCAACGAAGGGAAAAAATGCCATGTAAATGCTCATTTCTAGAACAAAAGAGAATGCGATTTTGACAATATCAGAAGGTTAATTAAGAAGTCTCTGAGTGATGATAAAGCTGGCACATTTTCAGTACAGATTGACACAACTCAAGACACAGGCATAGCTAATGTTTGCTCTATAATACTCTGATAAGTCAGAGAATATAAGCGAGAAGAACTGGTATCTATGGTAAACGTAGAGTCAAGAGCTAGATGTGGCTGAATAGAAAGGACATTTACTTTGCAGTTAGTTAAAGAACCCTCTAGCTCAGACTAGCTGTACTGTTGTTATTTGTGTGGCTAGAACCTAGTAATCGGATTCAGAACTGGAATTGGTTGCTCCAGGGTACCTTACAGATGTTCACGATGCATTTTAAGTGTAGTCTAGAAGGTGGCTACCTGGAGGGGCTGAGGGACTTGAGGATTACAGAATTGGAAAGGACTGTAGGGAGTCCTGTATTGTGGCTTGTCACCAACATAGAGACACCTCCTCATCATGGTGTCATCCATTCTCTTTTTGAAGACCCAGGGTGAAAGAAAGGAAGGTCACAGCATCATGAGATAGCCCATTCCATGTGGGACAGCTCTACTGTTTTGGGCCTGTCTTATTGAAAAAAAAAAAAACCACACAGGGAAAGTATATAAAAACATATGTTTAGGAAATATACACACACCCCCATACACACACACACACACACACACAAACATGCACACACTTACACACATACACATGCACACACACACACATACACACATACATTTTAGTGAATAACACACATCTATGTACTGCTGTGGAGAGTCCTGTGGTTTTAGTACCTGGTAAAAGTTGGGCTCCCAAAGCAGTCATTAAATGTGTTGGAATGATGCTTTTTGCTTAGCTGTTTTGGCACATTTGGAAATCTGCACTATTACCTGTTGATTAGTAGACAGTAATATGGCTGTATTACACACCCAGTGATTAGTTTCAGAAACAAATAGCATGTTAACAGTCAAGGAATCTTTGAGATGTTCTTGAGGAAACCAAAAAACTTGATTTAATGACCTTAAATTCCAGGGACATCCCACTGGGCTTAGAGCTCTGTGTCAAAAGTTGGTACCCAATATATAGAGAAATATAAAGTGACCAAATGTATAACATTAAATCAAAACCATTCCCAGTTTGTTGCAGATTTTTTAATGAGGACTGAAAAATAAGAGTCATTATTTTTTTATTCAGCCATAAGGAAACTTTGCAACCTAATAATGTGTAAGGCATTTCTGAGGCCCCAAGTGGAAATGCTGGATCTACAGAGACCTTCATGAAATAGAACAGGTTGAAACACCTTCCACCAGAAAAGTGTAAGACATTTGAAAAAAGATTGAGTCAGAAAAGAGAAATGTGTCCCATTTGAGAGATCAGAAAGGGAAACAAGAGTCCATTTCCTGCCCTGTCCGTGCAATTGCCACAGCTGCGTTCTCTGGCATGTCAGCTTTTATGGAAGCAGTGAGGATACGGTCTGTCTGGCAAAAGCTGGTTTGGGTGTTGTCTTATGCTAAGAAGGCCCTCGACCTGATGGAGAGCCTGGACCTGTTCCCGGTCCTTATCAATGACAAACAGTGGGTGGAGCCTATATTTCCTAATGGAGGGACCCTGAGGGATCCCCTAAGCTTAATTTGTTTTTGACTGTTCCAGTCCTAAAGGAGGTGGGTCCTGGACAGGAGGGAGAACAGCCTCGTGGCTCATGAGTCTCTGCCCAGGGACTCTCAAAGCTTTCAGCATTCACACCTTCCCTTACCGTAAGACAGCAGTGCTGATTCAACTTGAGTGTGCATCAGAATCACCTGGAGAATTTATTCAACATAGACTTCTGCTTCCCTGTCCTGCTCTCAATTTCTGATTCAGTAAGTCTGAGGTGGTGCTCAAGAATTTGCATTTCCGACAAGCTCCCAGGTGATGCTGATGGGGGTGGGGTGGGGCTGTGTCCACACTGTGAGAATCACTTGCCTAAGAGCACTAACAAAGAAATAAAGAGGACATAACTAGATCATTCACTTCCTAGCCAGCAACCAGAGCCCATCTCTGGCTGGGGAGCATGAAAGTGAGTGTGGGCAGAGAAGAGATCCTCAACCAAGCGCAGCTCTTTTTCCCTGCCTTGGCCTGGGAAGGCAGAGCTGATCCTCTAGTTTGACGCTCAGAAGCATTAATTGTGATACTTCACGTTGCCTAAGCCGTGATGAAATAATTGAAGGCATCATAGCAAGAAGTTAAGCCCTAGGGAGGCTATTAACAATTTAGCATTTCCAATTCATGTGGGAATGTCGATTTTACTTACCAAGGAGTATATTATGGATGTGTTTAGTGGAAGAAGCATCAGAATCAGCTGGGGTCCCCAATTGGCTTTGCTTTGACCCTCTTCCTGGAGAAAGATAAATGCAAGGCTGAGTCTCACAAAGACAGTGTGCTTTTTTTCTCAAGTAAACAGCTTGTTAGGCTGATAGAAATGGTTTCAGCTGGCTAATTCTGCAGGGGAAGCAGAGGTAGAGGGTGAACACAGCAAAGGTGAGGCCGGGAGGCCCACACCTTCTTTTCCAATTGTGAGACTGAGTCAGTTTATTGGCACCTTTCGAAAGCCCCTTGTAACACTGCCGGGCTGGACCCTCCCCCAAGACTGTTAAGTACGGCCTAATGGATCAGTAGAAACAGGACCTTCCTGTTGGTCGTTGAAGACCACGGCAGGAACAGCAGAGGGGAAGAAACCACTGGATCAGGAGTCAGGAGACAAATTCTAATCTTCACATTGTGGTGAACCATCAGTGTAGCCATGGGCAAGTCATTTAATTTCTCAAAGCCTCAGTTTCCCCGTCTGTAAAATGAAGGTACAGACTTGATGATAGCTAAGGTTTTTTACAATTTAGAAAACAAAAACAAAAGCAAACTGTGCTGCCAGATACTCAGATGAGTCCTTACTTGGCCACGTGGCCTGAGACTGTAGAGATCTGGTCCTGCCGTCAGCTTGTTTAGGGCTAACGAGCTTGTAGATAAGTTTGGCAACTGGAGATTCATGCGAGGGGCTAAGCATGGATTAGGTTAGCAGTTCTTCCATTTCTTGCTGGAGGCCTGCTGAAGCACTTCAGGGTCTCTTCCCAGAGTAGGTGGCAGAGAATTTGAAATTAGACACTCCCTGTACAAGGATCCAAGTACCTGTTGCTTTTGTGCTGGGATCACAGAGATACCTGGGTTGCATGGGTTTCCTGAGAAAAGGATGTCTGTTTTGGCAGCAAACTTATTGAATGGCTGAGGCAAAAACAAGTGCAAAAATGGTTCTCAGATTTCTCATTGAAAACTACCATGACTAAATCTCTAGTAGTTTTATGCCACACTCAATTCACTTGACATAAACAGTCAAATGTAGACATACTTGTTCGTTAAGTCTGGTCTTCCGGCTTTTGTTGGTTCACTTTGCAGTGTTTATTTTGTTTTGGGTCAGAGAGGATGAGACCATCTGCAGATGATCTCAGGCTAGGTGGTGCTTCCACCAGGGCCTCCTCTGCAGGTCTGGTGACAGCAGGCCTATGCTGTCTGTGTAAGAGCCTTCTCAGCAGCACACCATTGTTACCCACCAGGCTCTTCGCAAAAGCAAATCTTGTCCCAACTGCTCTGGCTGTGCTTGGCAGTGTACTCTAAATAAGGAGAACAGGATGTATTTTACACTTGAGACTTGCTATCCTACAGTATAACAACAACACTTCTAAGTGCTCTTAATATTAAGCTAATGGAAAACATACTGTTTATGCACCATCAAAGTCTGTTTTTCTTCTCTCCCACCCTCCCCAATCACCACAAACTCCAAACCTCTAGAACACACAGAGCGTCTTCTGCACCATCTCCTCCAGTCTGTCTCAAGATGGACATCTAAGTGGTTAGTTAGCTAGAGGTGGACTTGGAAAAGCTAGGCACTTACCACAGAAACCATAAAATCCCCAGGTTGCACAAATTAAATTTTCTTCTAAAAAATCACAGTGCTAGAAATGTTTCATTGACTGTTAGATTCATTTTATTAGTGTGAGAAGTCACTTGTCTTCACCAGAGGCAACAAAGTGCAGTAAAATGGTGAAGGTGGGCCAGGATTTCTGGGTGCTGCTATTATTGGAATGCTGGTTCTTTCCTTGTCATTTAATGGCCAAAGTTATTTGGATCCCAGAAGTCTAATCTTTATCTTCTATTGCTTTGTATTGTGAGAAGCCATGTCTACATAGGGTCTCCCGTGGACAGGATTCTGGAGTATGGTCCAGCCCAGTCCAGAAATCCCCAAGGTCCCCCTATCACTGAAGGCCCTATCATAAATATGGCATGGGAGGAGGGGAGCAGAGGAACAGAGAAACCAGAGTGGGATTCTGTCCCATAAAAAATGGTTCACAAATCTACTCATTTCCTATCAGCATTTTGTTTTTTGCTTGGGTTTGTCTATAAAGTAAAGTTAATGTATGCATGTAAACCAGCCTTGCAGATAAAATCCCCCCATGTTTCCAGGCTACCTATAATATTACCAGTTTTCCCCTTGCTGTCTACACATCTCTTTCCACAAGACAATAATCAAACAACAACATATAAGCAAATGAACCAAAGACCACCTCTCCCCATTCCTCAAACAAACCCCTTCCCTTTTGTCAAAAAGACCAAAATTGAAAACAAAACAGAAACTGTGGGAAATAACTCACCACTGTTCTTTTGTTTCAGGCCTTGGGCCTGTTAACTATCTGCAAGGCTGTTGTAATGATGTTAATCTATTTTAATGGCATTGAAATGTGATATCCTGTGGTTTACGATGTACATTGTTTGTAGCTGCAATGCTTGATTTTGGGTTTCTTTCACAGATAAACTTCTGCACTGGAGGGGCCTCTCCTCCCCTCGTTCTGCACACGGAGCTCTAATCCCCACGCCTGGGATGAGTGCAGAATATGCCCCGCAGGGTATTTGTAAGTTGAACCTTATTTCTTCTACAAATGTCCATGTATATAGAGATGAGAGTTTCTGGAAATTGCCCTTACTTTTTAAGTACTGAAGGGAGTTACTTCCAAAATAGATTGGCATGTGTATTATTCCATTACTCACTTGGCACCCACTGCCCCACTCCACTTAGCCCCAGAGGGACTTCTTCCCTCCCCTTTTTGTTTCCTCACTGAAGGCCAGGAGCTGATAGCAGCTCATCCCTGTCTTCTCCCCAGGTCTGGCTCCATGGCTAGGGATTGAATATGCCTGTGCCTTCAGAGCCCATTTATTACTGGACATTCACTCCCGTGGCCTCATTTAGCACTTCAGGTGTAGTCCATGGCACAAATCTTTAGCCAAGGCCAGAATCAAAAGGAGACAGTTTAGGGTTATTCCAGAGTTATTCTAATGCATATTCCTTATGCATTTACATATTTATTTGAACATAGAATATTTTATATATACATGTATACACATAATTTTGACTTGTTTTTCTCCTGGTTTTAGAGAAAAATGCACATCATTGTAGTTAAAATGTGAAAGTTCTCCTACCACCACCACCATTTACTTGTTCAAGCAAGCTTTTATAGTAGGGATTGCTTTATGAAAATTAAATTTGTTCATTTATACAAACATTTTCTGAAAGATATTGTTTTGGAAAATAATACAGTTTGCTTCTTTGTGTAGGAACACATGGTATGAATCGTGCATGGCTGAAAGGTTGTGGGGTAGGCAGTGATTCCACTCTAAACACAAAAAAGCAGGTTCAAGAAGAAAAGTAGTGTGACATCTAATTTTTATTTGAAAGTAAATGAAAAATAACCTGCCATGGAAAGAAAAAAAAAAGGGAAAGAGTCATGGAAAGAGAATAACAAAGAGCAAGTTGCCAGAGTGAAGGCTCCAAGGGGGACTGTTTTTTAGATGGGAGGAAACTACACTTACCCATTTTGTATGTGGTAACTGAAGAGCAGGGCATGTACCCTGAGACCAAATTCAAAGCCAGTTGTTTATTTTTGTTACCTCCTAGGTAATCCTAGGTAACAAAGAGTTATTGTGTGAATTTCATAAGCCCTCAGGTCCCGAGGGCTGGGTGGTTCAGGGGTTAAAAGCACCTCATCTACCCATCCCCCACAGCTGGGCCTAAGCCTGGGTTAAGTCACAGATTGCAGAGAGTTTAAGGGGTTGGACTCAAGGTTTCAAGTCCCTGCATGCTGGCTGGGTGGGGAGAGCTCTCTTGTTGCTGGGGGCATCTGGGGCCTGCATGGGGCTGTGGGAACAGAGCCACTTTTGGAGGGAAGGGGAAGAAGGGAGTTGGGCAGTTAAAGGAGGGTGGAGTTGAGAGGCGAAGGGCTGCTGGCCAGAGAAACATAGTTCTGTATCTTCAGCCTGGTTTTCCTGAGGGCAGGGAGTTTGATTTGACTGGTAGGAAAGTCGGAGCTTGATAGGGAACCCCTGCGCTCTTCCACCTTCCCACAAAGGGAAGGCACATAGTTTGCTGGTGCCCCTGCCGGCAGGACCAGTTTAGGAGTGACCAGAACAAGGTATGTGGAAATGGGTTGTGGGGGTCCAGAAAGCTCTAGAACAAACCTGATGCCCACTCCACTTGGCAGCATTAAGCTGCCGCCCCTGGCTTCCAGAGCTCATACCACTTTCATGTGGGCACTTGGCTATGCGTCAGTCACTCCTGCTCTTTAACTAGAGCCTCCTTTTGGCCTGGATTAAGGCCTGGACTCGGACCTTCCTCTGGAAGCCGTTCCGGGTTTGTAACGTGGTTAGTCATTACCCTCAGTAATTAATCACCCCGATAGCAATTAAAACTCACATTCATGTCGGACCTGATAGTTTACAGAGGGCTTTTATACACGTCTGTCATTTGAACCTCCCAACAATTCTTTACAGGTACTGTTTTTATGCTCATTTTACAGATAGGAATTCTAAGGCTCAGAAATCAAATGACTACCCCAGAGTAGTTACAAGCTAGTGAATAATAGAGCCAGGCTCTGGGCTCAGACCTCCTTGTTCTTCTGAATCTTGAAGCTGAGTTCACATGACTTTTTCACATTGGTGACACACTAGAAATGGGGATCATTCCTTCCCATAAAGTAAAATGAAATAAAATACAATAAAATCCAGTAGGTGGGCTAATAGCTGATTTTAACCCTTTTGATGCCTCAAGTTTCTATTCTTAGGAGCCAGGTGTCAGTTTATTGCTCTAAATCAAAACAATCCCCGTGAATGCTCAATGAGGCTCTCAAATTGAGAAGTTGATTTTCATCAGAGTAAATGAAGAATATTATTATATTTTACACATCAATAAATCAATGTAGTCCTAATTTTGCCACACAGGAAATCAATTCCGGTCTTTCTAAATCATCAAAGATGTTATGAACAAAGTAATTTCACAAATTATGGCAAGTAACACCTTTATTGATGACTGCAGTTTAGGAATTTAGAATCTGTGAGCACTGTAATATAATATGGTACACCGGCACGAGCCGAGTGAAATACAGATTATATGGTGAAATTGTAATGCATCATTTGCTATTAGTGGACTGGTAATAATTACCAGTTTCAAAGCAGCTCTCTCCATGTAATCTTTAGTCTCAATCGTAACAGCCCTTCTCATTGACATTATGATTACACTGGCTGCCCTCATGATCTAGAATATCTAGTTGATGGGAATACTAAAATGCGATAGTGAAAACTGTATGTTGTATGCTCATTATAAGATAAAATGCCATTTTCTCTGACCTGATGCATGAGAGAGAGGGGAGGATAACATCACAGTGTTAACATACTGTAGCATGATCACATAACTGGCTCTGAAAAAAAAAATTTAGGAAGCTCAGGGCAGCAAAATGAAATGGACTTTTCTCATTTAAGCCTGTTTGAAAGGATACAAATGAGATCCTTGATGTAGTGCTGTATGCCACAGATTTCGGCATTTATCAATGGCTACATTCATGGCGCATATGAAACCAGCACCACTAATTATGAATCCGGTCCTGGATTTCAGTAGATTTTTTTATAAGGTAAAATATGATTTTAAGGCATTTGGAGTGATGAGCATGCTAAGGACTTGCATTATCAGACAAATCTTTTTACTTAACCAACTCAGACTCCCAGGCTAATCGGGTATGATAATCACCCAGAGACCTAGGGAGGACAGGGAGAAGCCACAGAGGGTCATGTAGTTGGAACCAGATAGTTTTTTTCCAGCCTATTTGGGACCTGAGTCATTGTTCAACAACAACAAAACATTTATGAAAATGCTCTCAATGAAGCTCTTTATTTCCCTTTGAAGAGAGGAAGCAAATCAAAATAGGCGGATAATGTGATACTAATGTCAGCGGTTTCTTTCAAAATCTTTCTGCCTTTTTCCCCACCTCCACATTAGACAAATGTTTGAAACCTAATTTTGGTATCTTACCATCTAATCTTGTTAAAGAGATTTACCCAGGAGTGGGATATATTGAGTGGGATTATAAATGCATTGTAAAGTAAATTACAAGGTCAGGGCGGGAGTCCATTATTTAGACAAGTGCTTGAGTGAGGCTGGCTTGTTTTGGAATACGAGTGTTTGGGGGCTCCTGAGAAGACCCTGCTGGCTTTTCTTTCTGACTTGCTAAATGGAGGCATCATGTAATTGATTAATTCCTCATTCCCACTCTTAACCTCTCTGGTAGATTTTTTTTTTCCCCCTTTTAAAAAGTTACTGACAGATACTAGCTGTGGTCTTAAGGAACTCTTGCAGCCCTTCTTTTGAAAGAAGGGGAAAAGTTTGTTATTTTTCAGTTATATTTTAAATCCTTTTTCAGAATCCCTGGGAAGTTTTCTGTTTTTCTCATCCTTGTCCTTTGGCTACCATTACTTCTGCCCTTTTTAAAGTTGCAGTTGACTAGTAAACTGTTGGCTAGTTATTCCATATATATGTGTGTATGTATATATATATATATATTTAATTTAGCCATCTCCCCAAATGAAAGATTTCGTGAAGTCAAGCTGGCCCTTCTTTGCCAAAGTGGCATTTACCACTCTTGGGTTCTTTTCAGCAAGAGAAATAATGTGACTTAAGCAGGGCCCCTCTCCAGACGGCTTGGCTACTGGCCAGAGTTGACTAGCTGAACTGTATCTTTCTGTTTCTTTCTCAACTGGAGCTGAGTCTCAGCCGAGGGCGCAGGATGTTGTATAATTTGGTTCACGTTGTTAGCCTCTCAAAATAATGAGGAGGAGGATAGTGTAGCATTTCTCAGCCTGCTGCCTGTCATGGTGCTGGCTGCTTTAACTGTTCCTTAAACTAGGATGCTGTGTCTACTTAAGTCAGCACCAGCCACTCCTCCTAACTTTTCTAGACTTGCATTTGTCTGACTTGGGGACAAATCCTAAAGATTGGATGCAGCCTGTTAAATCTGAATGGAGTTCTTTGCAGATTTTTGCAACATTCTTTGATATAAGAATAGGCGGCCCCATAGGGTGTTGTGGAACCAAAATTGGGATCCATTGACCCTCTCACAGGCTGGGATGTGAGAATGTTGCTAGTCTTTTTTTCCACAGAAGTATTTTATGAGTACCCTCTCATTTTAACAATATCAACAATTAGTGTGTTTCAGGCTAAGACTGAAAGCATCTCTAGGGCCATAGAGCATTGCAGTGAGTTGACTTTCTCCCCCTTTTTTGATGTCTCTCTGAAATGTTTGCCTATTTAGAAAGTTCACCTGCCACCCAGGAGGGAATAGAAAGCTAGGATTTGGGAAGCCAAAAAGTTGCCTTGGGTCACCTTGTCCAAGTTTCTCACTTAATGAGGAGGAAATAGAGGCACATGGAGATGAGACAGCTTGCCCCAAACTGTGGCTGATGGGAATGGAAAGTTTAGAAGATACTTGTTGAGGTGCCTAGGATGTAGGTACCTTCATCCTCAAGCCCGAACTGGCCAGGATTTTTCTGCTTTGGGGACTGGATATAAAATTCCTAGAATCGAGTTTAATGGCAGGGAGACTGGTTGGGCCAATATTTACTGGGTACCCACACTCAGTCCTGCCAGGCACAATTTAGGCACAGGGGTAGGCCAGTGAGGGCTTAGGCCTCGGGGTTGAGGGGTGGGGGCAGGGAAGGCTGGAGGTGGAACATAAATAAGCAATTGCTGATACCCGCCTCAGTGATTAAACATTGATGTTGGTGTTGTATTATTTTGCAGGTAAAGATGAGCCCAGCAGCTACACATGTACAACTTGCAAACAGCCATTCACCAGTGCATGGTTTCTCTTGCAACACGCACAGAACACTCATGGATTAAGAATCTACTTAGAAAGCGAACACGGAAGTCCCCTGACCCCGCGGGTTGGTATCCCTTCAGGACTAGGTGCAGAATGTCCTTCCCAGCCACCTCTCCATGGGATTCATATTGCAGACAATAACCCCTTTAACCTGCTAAGAATACCAGGATCAGTATCGAGAGAGGCTTCCGGCCTGGCAGAAGGGCGCTTTCCACCCACTCCCCCCCTGTTTAGTCCACCACCGAGACATCACTTGGACCCCCACCGCATAGAGCGCCTGGGGGCGGAAGAGATGGCCCTGGCCACCCATCACCCGAGTGCCTTTGACAGGGTGCTGCGGTTGAATCCAATGGCTATGGAGCCTCCCGCCATGGATTTCTCTAGGAGACTTAGAGAGCTGGCAGGGAACACGTCTAGCCCACCGCTGTCCCCAGGCCGGCCCAGCCCTATGCAAAGGTTACTGCAACCATTCCAGCCAGGTAGCAAGCCGCCCTTCCTGGCGACGCCCCCCCTCCCTCCTCTGCAATCCGCCCCTCCTCCCTCCCAGCCCCCGGTCAAGTCCAAGTCATGCGAGTTCTGCGGCAAGACGTTCAAATTTCAGAGCAACCTGGTGGTGCACCGGCGCAGCCACACGGGCGAGAAGCCCTACAAGTGCAACCTGTGCGACCACGCATGCACCCAGGCCAGCAAGCTGAAGCGCCACATGAAGACGCACATGCACAAGTCATCCCCCATGACGGTCAAGTCCGACGACGGTCTCTCCACCGCCAGCTCCCCGGAACCCGGCACCAGCGACCTGGTGGGCAGCGCCAGCAGCGCGCTCAAGTCCGTGGTGGCCAAGTTCAAGAGCGAGAACGACCCCAACCTGATCCCGGAGAACGGGGACGAGGAGGAAGAGGAGGACGACGAGGAAGAGGAAGAAGAGGAGGAAGAGGAGGAGGAGGAGCTGACGGAGAGCGAGAGGGTGGACTACGGCTTCGGGCTGAGCCTGGAGGCGGCGCGCCACCACGAGAACAGCTCGCGGGGCGCGGTGGTGGGCGTGGGCGACGAGAGCCGCGCCCTGCCCGACGTCATGCAGGGCATGGTGCTCAGCTCCATGCAGCACTTCAGCGAGGCCTTCCACCAGGTCCTGGGCGAGAAGCATAAGCGCGGCCACCTGGCCGAGGCCGAGGGCCACAGGGACACTTGCGACGAAGACTCGGTGGCCGGCGAGTCGGACCGCATAGACGATGGCACTGTTAACGGCCGCGGCTGCTCCCCGGGCGAGTCGGCCTCGGGGGGCCTGTCCAAAAAGCTGCTGCTGGGCAGCCCCAGCTCGCTGAGCCCCTTCTCAAAGCGCATCAAGCTCGAGAAGGAGTTCGACCTGCCCCCGGCCGCGATGCCCAACACGGAAAACGTGTACTCGCAGTGGCTCGCCGGCTACGCGGCCTCCAGGCAGCTCAAAGATCCCTTCCTTAGCTTCGGAGACTCCAGACAATCGCCTTTTGCCTCCTCGTCGGAGCACTCCTCGGAGAACGGGAGCTTGCGCTTCTCCACGCCGCCCGGGGAGCTGGACGGAGGGATCTCGGGGCGCAGCGGCACGGGAAGTGGAGGGAGCACGCCCCATATTAGTGGTCCGGGCCCGGGCAGGCCCAGCTCAAAAGAGGGCAGACGCAGCGACACTTGTGAGTACTGTGGGAAAGTCTTCAAGAACTGTAGCAATCTCACTGTCCACAGGAGAAGCCACACGGGCGAAAGGCCTTATAAATGCGAGCTGTGCAACTATGCCTGTGCCCAGAGTAGCAAGCTCACCAGGCACATGAAAACGCATGGCCAGGTGGGGAAGGACGTTTACAAATGTGAAATTTGTAAGATGCCTTTTAGCGTGTACAGTACCCTGGAGAAACACATGAAAAAATGGCACAGTGATCGAGTGTTGAATAATGATATAAAAACTGAATAGAGGTATATTAATACCCCTCCCTCACTCCCACCTGACACCCCCTTTTTCACCACTCCCCTTCCCCATCGCCCTCCAGCCCCACTCCCTGTAGGATTTTTTTCTAGTCCCATGTGATTTAAACAAACAAACAAACAAACAGAAGTAACGAAGCTAAGAATATGAGAGTGCTTGTCACCAGCACACCTGTTTTTTTTCTTTTTCTTTTTCTTTTTTTCTTTTTCCTTTTTTTTTTTTCCTTTTTTTTCTCACCGTTTGAATGCATGATCTGTATGGGGCAATACTATTGCATTTTACGCAAACTTTGAGCCTTTCTCTTGTGCAATAATTTACATGTTGTGTATGTTTTTTTTTAAACTTAGACAGCATGTATGGTATGTTATGGCTATTTTAAATTGTCCCTAATTCGTTGCTGAGCAAACATGTTGCTGTTTCCAGTTCCGTTCTGAGAGAAAAAGAGAGAGAGAGAGAAAAAGACCATGCTGCATACATTCTGTAAAACATATCATGTACAGTTTTATTTTATAATGTGAGGAGGAAAAACAGTCTTTGGATTAACCCTTTATAGACAGAATAGATAGCGTTGAAAAAAAAAATCTCTATGAGCTAAATATCTGTCTCTAAAGGGTTAAATGTATCAATTGGAGAGGAAAAAAAGGCCTTGAATTGACAAATTAACAACAACAAAAAAACAAGTTTATTCTATCATTTGGTTTTAAAATATGAGTGCCTTGGATCTATTAAAACCACACTGATGGTTCTTTCTACTTGCTATAAACTTGTAGCTTAATTCAGCATTGGGTGAGGTAATAAACCTTAGGAACTAGCATATAATTCTATATTGTATTTCTCACAACAATGGCTACCTAAAAATATGACCCATTATGTCCTAGTTAATCATCATTTTTCCTTTAGTTTAATTTTATAAACAAAACTGATTATACCAGTATAAAAGCTACTTTGCTCCTGGTGAGAGCTTAAAAGAAATGGGCTGTTTTGCCCAAAGTTGTATTTTTTTTAAACAATGATTAAAATTGAATGTGTAATGTGCAAAAGCCCTGGAAAACAATTAAATACATTAGTAAGGAGTTCATTTTGTGAAGATATTTGCTTTAATAATGCCTTTTTTAAAAATTCTGGCACCAAAAGAAATAGATCCAGATCTACTTGGTTGTCAAGAGGACAATCAAATGAGAAACTTTAAGACCTTGTATACCATATTGAAAGGAAGAGGCTGACAATAAGATTTGACAGAGGGGAACAGAAGAAAAAAATACAATTTATTAGCACAACGTGGTACTGTTTGCCATTTAAAACTAGAACAGGTATATAAGCTAATATTGATACAATGATGATTAACTATGAATTCTTAAGACTTGCGTTTAAATGTGACATTCTTAAAGAAAGAAGAGAAAGAATTTTAAGAGTAGCAGTATATATGTCTGTGCTCCCTAAAAGTTGTACTTCATTTCTTTTCCATACACTGTGTGCTATTTGTGTTAACATGGAAGAGGATTCATTGTTTTTATTTTATTTTTTATTTTTTTATTTTTTATTAAGCTAGCATCTGCCCCAGTTGGTGTTCAAATAGCACTTGACTCTGCCTGTGATATCTGTATCTTTTCTCTAATCAGAGATACAGAGGTTGAGTATAAAATAAACCTGCTCAGATAGGACAATTAAGTGCACTGTACAATTTTCCCAGTTTACAGGTCTATACTTAAGGGAAAAGTTGCAAGAATGCTGAAAAAAAAAAAATTGAACACAATCTCATTGATGAGCATTTTTTAAAAACTAAAAAAAAAAAAACTTTGCCAGCCATTTACTTGACTATTGAGCTTACTTACTTGGACGCAACATTGCAAGCGCTGTGAATGGAAACAGAATACACTTAACATAGAAATGAATGATTGCTTTCGCTTCTACAGTGCAAGGATTTTTTTGTACAAAACTTTTTTAAATATAAATGTTAAGAAAAAATTTTTTTAAAAAACACTTCATTATGTTTAGGGGGGAACTGCATTTTAGGGTTCCATTGTCTTGGTGGTGTTACAAGACTTGTTATCCATTTAAAAATGGTAGTGGAAATTCTATGCCTTGGATACACACCGCTCTTCAGGTTGTAAAAAAAAAACATACATTGGGGAAAGGTTTAAGATTATATAGTACTTAAATATAGGAAAATGCACACTTCATGTTGATTCCTATGCTAAAATACATTTATGGTCTTTTTTCTGTATTTCTAGAATGGTATTTGAATTAAATGTTCATCTAGTGTTAGGCACTATAGTATTTATATTGAAGCTTGTATTTTTAACTGTTGCTTGTTCTCTTAAAAGGTATCAATGTACCTTTTTTGGTAGTGGAAAAAAAAAAAAAGACAGGCTGCCACAGTATATTTTTTTAATTTGGCAGGATAATATAGTGCAAATTATTTGTATGCTTCAAAAAAAAAAGAGAGAAACAAAAAAGTGTGACATTACAGATGAGAAGCCATATAATGGCGGTTTGGGGGAGCCTGCTAGAATGTCACATGGATGGCTGTCATAGGGGTTGTACATATCCTTTTTTGTTCCTTTTTCCTGCTGCCATACTGTATGCAGTACTGCAAGCTGATAACGTTGGTTTGTTATGTAGTGTGCTTTTTGTCCCTTTCCTTCTATCACCCTACATTCCAGCATCTTACCTTCATATGCAGTAAAAGAAAGAAAGAAAAAAAAAAAAGGAAAAAAAAAAAAAACCAATGTTTTGCAGTTTTTTTCATTGCCAAAAACTAAATGGTGCTTTATATTTAGATTGGAAAGAATTTCATATGCAAAGCATATTAAAGAGAAAGCCCGCTTTAGTCAATACTTTTTTGTAAATGGCAATGCAGAATATTTTGTTATTGGCCTTTTCTATTCCTGTAATGAAAGCTGTTTGTCGTAACTTGAAATTTTATCTTTTACTATGGGAGTCACTATTTATTATTGCTTATGTGCCCTGTTCAAAACAGAGGCACTTAATTTGATCTTTTATTTTTCTTTGTTTTTATTTTTTTTTTTATTTAGATGACCAAAGGTCATTACAACCTGGCTTTTTATTGTATTTGTTTCTGGTCTTTGTTAAGTTCTATTGGAAAAACCACTGTCTGTGTTTTTTTGGCAGTTGTCTGCATTAACCTGTTCATACACCCATTTTGTCCCTTTATTGAAAAAAATAAAAAAAAATTAAAGTACACATTGTAAGCTTCTTGTGTCCTCATTTGACACACTCTGTAAATTACTTTCAAGAAAATAACAGGTTTTAAGAGAAGGCCAGTCAGTCTTTTTCAGGATTATTTCTATGGGCATTCTGATGCGTGTATTATACCCTAAAGGAACATAAAGTACTTACTATATTAAAATAGACATATCTCAACCCATGGAAATAGTTTTAAGGCTTTACAGTTCTAGAATAATTTTCAAGATATGGAAAGTGTTTTCAGTCTGATGTTAAAAACTTACTCCATCTCTTAGCAGAAATCCATTCAAATATAAGTGAAAAAACTTGCTGGTAATAGCATCTTAAACTTTTATTTCCTTTGGATTTTTTGCTGTTCTTGTTGTCTAAAAGTTCTTTTCTATTCTCCCATCCTTGCCTTATAATATAATGTAAAAATGATTTTAAAAAAAATCAGCTGTTTAGTTTCCATGTAAGACTCTTTCCTTGTAACAAAATAACCCCACTTTTCAAATCTAAAAATCTGGAAACAAAGGCATCAGGTTACAGAAATAAAAATAAAAAAAAGAGGGAGAAAAAGAGAGAGAGAGAAAGAGAGAGAAAAAAGCAGCTACTAGGGGTTCAGCCAGACAAGCCAGACATAGTGAAATCTTTGGAATCAGCCACTGATTTCCTGAGATGTATAGTGGTTTGCCTTGTGGTTCTAAGATCCCAGGGACCCTAGACGCTACAGATTACTTCAGGTGTTTTGATAGGGTCTTCCTGGCTGACTGCAAATAAGGGCGGGAATACCCTTCAGTTACCTTTTGACCAGCCAGTTAGGTCTATTTAAAAAACCATTCCTTAGAAATCTGTGTTGTCAGTTTTACAAATACCGCGTGTTGCAGCATCTATTTGCTTTACTAAAACATACCTCTGTGATATCGTCTCCCTGTACCCAGTGTAGATGAATGAATACGACATTGTTCTTATTTTTGTAAAAAACCAAAACAAAAGCTGTTCTGTTGTCTTCTTGTGGTAGCATTTTTTGTTGCTCAGTTCTTATGCCCTAGTGCCTGTGAGGTGGCCTTTTCATGTCATGCCTTTTATCTTAGGCAATAATACTTTCATCTTTCTAAAGTAGAGAGATAGTCTATGTCTTCTGAAAAGCCAGTTTGGGTGGGAAGGAGAGAGTGGGGCTAGAGGAATCCACTGAGAGAGAATGTTGGAGAACATGACATAGGAGCTGGGCCAGGGTGGGGTTGTGGTACCTTGAGAACTTGATGTTTGTCACTGAACTTAGAAAAGATATACTGTATGTGTTTTGGATTTGGTTTCTCCAAAACTGAGTCCAAAATGCTGCTCCAGACAGATAGAAATAATTCCCCAGTGCCATGCTGGCTCTAGATGTGGTGACTTTGGCTCCACCGTATTAAATGTCCATAAAACCTCTGTGTGTCCCTATTACTCTTTTATTAGGAGCTATGAGTGCAGCTGTGTAGGTTTTAAATACAGTATTCATTTTAATTTCTCAGTATATGATGCTCTTAGTGTAATTAGGTTTTGCATCCTGACAGACAGAATTAATGGTGGATACTGTATACTTGTTTGTTCAAATTTCTTAAATCAAATGGTGACCGGGGAGGAGTGCAAACATCTGGTGATAAATCACAGATTATGTTTGATTTACATGGTCCCAAAGTTAAATAAATTTATTGGGAGACAGGTTCTTCAGGTTACTTAGTCTCCTGACTTATTGAAGCCTTCTGATAAAATATTATTTCTGAAGCTGATGAACAATAGAAGCATGAAAATCTAGCCAACGTGAATATCACTTATAAATGATATTTCATATCAGAAACTCTAAAATTTAAAATCTTAATATAAAATAACGAAAATTTCCAACAGTAAGATGAACTACTAAGAACCTTAATGTCTCTCAAAATCCTCAAGTAAGTTTTTCTCACAGGCTTGACGTGCTGATGAAATGTTCTCTACATACCTGAACTCCTGATTCTTAAAATGTTCTTTTTAATCTTCATTTGAGAACAACTTAATAAACAGGCATACAGCAAATTCTGTTTCTCACAGATTTTAAACCAGAAGCTTTTCCAGTGCCTATATGCCCTCCTTCTTGAACCCATTTGCTATCCTCTCTCTGTTAAGGACCTACAAAAGGGCTGGAATCAACACGTTACAAAGGTTGCTAAGAAGTGAGGTGAACACAGCTCTTCATTTGCACCGGCCATAGCAGGAAGTGTGAAGTAGTTGAGTTTTTCCCGGGGCATTCTGTGGATATAGATCTGTTTATTTGAATACCATTTTTGTATATGCAATAAGTACATATTGTATATATTCATAATGCTGGGAGTGAGAATTTGAAAGGAAGTGGCAGGAGGTGTCTTAGATATAATTCCAATTGGAGAAGTAAGGAAATGAGTTGGCTTACTCACAGACACTAACAGTTTGCTGAAAGGTACTGGGATTATTTTGGGCCTTCCTGAGAAGGAATTGAGAAGCCTCAGGCCCCATCCTCTTCTGCTTGTAACATTTTACTCACAGAGACTGAGGGAGGAAACAGAGTGCTTTCTCGTTTTAAGCCTCTTTTCCCCTCCGTACACACACAAACACGATTTCTTATGACTGTGCTGTAACTGTGTGTTCCTCATTACGATTCTGTGACTCCATTGTCCCTGGGCCTGGTGTGTTCAGGAATGTACCCATCCCATTCTCTTTTTTCAGACAACTTCCTGTGAAAAAAAAAAATTGTGGGGACTTTGCCGGTATGAGGATGGGATTGGCAGAGTTCGCTCAACCTGCTTGGAAAAATGTTTCTTAAAAGACCGCTAACTTGTAAAAGTTATGAGCCATCTAGCAGATTTTCCTAGGTGTCTCCTAAAGCCCTACATCTCTCCCAATTGAGAATAAATGAACCCGTTTTTAGGGAAATGGACATCAGAACACGTAGAGGGAATTGGGATGATGTGTATTTATTCTAGCGCTGCTATAGCTATGAACCGTGGACATAGTCGGGTCCACGCTTTTGCTTGCTGGCATCTCGTTATCCCATTAGCCCGCTGTTTCATTTACTACATATAGCACATGGCCAGTGACTCAGCCTTTAGGGGGATGGGACTGTTTCTCTCTCTCTCTCTCTATTTCCCAGCGTCATCTACAGTCATGGGATACCATTAATTCCTCCCTTCCAAGTGGGAAAGGAGGCCAATCCAGTTCACACGGGTCATTGTACTTAAGAACCTAAACTTGGCTGAACACAGCTTGATGGTTGATCCAAATACTGTTTTTCCTTTCTGTAAAGTGGCAAAAACTATTTCAAGGGAGCACGTATATCAGATCTTTCATAGGGATTGTAGAAAAGGTAAATTAACCGTTTCCCCAAGTATCCTTTAAAGTGGGAGCCCCTAAACCCATAGGGGACTGTGCTTTTAAATAGCTGTGAACATAGTTCATGCCCATAATATGCTTTGCCTATTAGGGCTTTAATTATTGGTAGCAGGTTGGATGAAGGGGTTTGAATGGGGTATCAGCTAAAGGGGCCTCGACGACAGTGACTTAGCACTGGACTGGGAATGGGATTCCCCAGAACCCACCTGGACACAGCATGCCCCTCAGCCCAGGTCTCTGCTGCTCTGCTCAGGGGTGGGATGCGTGAGAGCAGCTGAGCTCCAGACCCTGGGCCTCCTGCGGCGCCAAGTCAGGGGAGAGGAGGCCCCAGGCCCCTGCTTCGGGTCGCCATGGCAACGAGGCCTGGAATGCCACAGTGGTAGCCCTCTTCCTCGGCACATCCGGACTCCCAGTTCTGCTGCTTCAAGTCAATGTCCACAGCAAGGGAGGAACCCCGGAGGAAAATAACCACTCCCTTCTTCCCTTCACCATTGCCTTCCCCCTTCCAAAAAAGAAAAGAAAACTGCATGTTTGAAAGAAACTACAGGCAGTTTTTGGTGCAATTTGAGAGCAACTATTTTGGGTTCTGGTTTTCTCTTCAGAGATTTGTTCGCCTCTCGTAAATCATTGGCTGCTTTGACGTTGAACTTGATGACATTTCATGTTTTTGTTGTGCTGCTTTTACATCAGTTTTGATTTTTTGTTTCTTTATAATTTTATTATTATTTTGAGAAGGTGTCCCCTGTCCCTCCTCCCTCTCCCGCTCTCCTCAACCAAAGGACTGTTTCTTACTAAGTTTTCCCAGTCATAAGGGCAGGTGTTTCCTTCCAGGTGTGTCCCGAGTTTATTAGGACTATCATACAATTGGGCAGGGGTGGGGGGACCTGGGTCCTCCTGGGGGCTACGGAAAGGAGGGAGGCATGGGAAGGCCACTCAGAGGTCAGGGGTACTTGGGGAGGGGAGACTGAGTTTGAAATCATGCTTAAGATGCCAGTGGCTCGACCTGTGGTTGATTTAAGTTCTAATTTTTAAAAGCTAGTTAGAGAACAGAAAATCATTGGGCCAAGTCACACCTGTACTTTTTTTTCCCCTCCTCTGTCTCCAACCTCTTTCTAGGTTCTTCACACACCCCCATTCGGCGTAGTACCCAGAGAGCTCAAGATGTGTGGCAGTTTTCGGATGGAAGCTCGAGAGCCCTTAAATTCTGAGAAAATTTGAAGCCCCCAGGGGCGGGGTGGACGCGTCCGCCCGGCCGACGTCAGCGTGGTCTGTCATCCTGCTAGTTTGTGATGTTTTCTGACAGTAGCCTCCAAGAAGCCGTTGTGCGAAGACAGAGTCCTGCAGAGTCCTTCCAGCCTGGGCCTGCAGTGCCATTTTATTTATATTTTTTAATAAAACGTAAAAACAAAAAAACAGACCCACCTTGGAACAGTGAATCAGTCCCATAGAGAGGGCCCGAGGACCATCGCTGTCGTGAGTGATGCCCTGGCCCTTCTGAAACCAGCCAACCTAATTACCCGTATTGTGGAAATGCGCATGAGTCCCCAACCCCTTGTTTCTATACATTCTATGTTGTCTTTTAAAAAGTGTGCTTAACATTGACACAATAAATGTTGGAGCTTTAGGTGGTGTTTGTTTGTTCTTTAATTTTTAATGCTTATAAGACAATGCGGCTGCTTAGGACTTTGTATTTCTGTACCCGTTTCCTACAGACACCCATTGGGTGGGTAGGAGGAACAGATTTGAGGAATGGGCAGGAGACGTAGGAGGGGAAATAGGTTACCGCTTATCAGATGGCATAAATTTTCAAGGAGAATCAAAATGCAAAACTTGGGAATAGATCATGGCAATATCATAATTAATGTAGTAGTAGTGTTGCTGTTTATTAATGCTGAAGTGTGGTTTTCCTAACTGTCTGACTTATAATTTGCATACCATTAAATAATGCATAATATGGCATTCTGAATCCTGTTTTTCAAATGTATGCTTTTGGTGGCTACTATGCAGGATTTGAATTTGTCTTTTAATTTAGCTTAGGAAAGGTAACGTCACTGGGTGAGCGGTAAATCCTAAAGAAGATGATAAATGTCAGTAGTTGCTTATTAAATATTCTAATTTTAGGTTCCTAACACTTCAGGAAATATATCTTAATGCAGACAAACAAACAAACGTAAAATTTCTTTATTACTTACATCAGGAAATTTGGGGCAGACTTTACAGGGGGAAGGTTATAGGAGGAAAGAAGTTCACATCATAGTAATGCTCCATTCCTTAGAACTTAGAGCCACAAACAGGCTGCTTCTACAAACAGGTGGTAAAAATTCTTTCTGGCCCAGTTAATTTGCACAGAACTTTTCTCAGTTTGGTATTTTTTACTGCTTGGAGATCTGGAAGAGAATTAGAAATAATACAGCCTATTAAGATAGGTTTGTCAATAATAGAGCTCAGGCACCTGTGTGCTGTAGATTCACATACAGGCAGTGAACCTTAGCAGGGAAAATCTTACCCACTCACCCTCTGGCTAGATCACCTAGCTTAGTGAAAAGACAGCCAAATAATTGGCATCTGGATTCTTTCCTGCTTATTCATAATAAATAATGACTCTACAGTAGTGAACTTCCTTCTACTTTCTACAGTGCTGTCTTGTGCCTCATTTCACCTGCTCTCCAGGACAGATCTTGCGACTTCCACTTTACAGAATTGGGGACTGAGGCTTACCAAGGTTAAGGGCTTGCCAGAGGCCACATCAATAAGAGAGAAAGCAGAGAAACCAGGTTTTCTAGTTTCTAGTCCAGAGCTAATTTCACCTAACTCTGTTTAGCTGATCAAAGAGGGTATCTTTTCCTGTGTTAGCACATAAGCCATAAATGTTCACAGACACACATTTGTGGCTTACACACACAGATCCAGGATAGCCTTTGATAAAGGCATTGCAGAACTGCCTCTTCCTACCAACAGCTGTGTGCACCGAGAAAGGGAGTTTGCAACCTCCTTGCCATCACCTTTCCCCGGTGGCTTTTCCATGACAAATGACCCTGATTGCACAAGTGGCCTGGTTTTTGTGACTTCCTCTCACCTAGGTGAGGATGGGACTTCCAGACAAGAAGTTATTTCATAAAGAAACCCTCTTCCTGCCCCATACTCTGCCTATGTGTTGCTGAAACATAAGACCATCAGGGATCCTGTGACGGTATCCTCCCTCAATGCGCTAAGTTCCTTGCGGATGCCTAGAAAGAGTGACACCACTTCCAAAGGGGGGCCAGAATTGAAACAGATCAATCCTGGGTCTTGAGAAGACTTCATCTTTGTAACTGCACTTCGTAGTCCCTACACTTTCATTTCTTATTTCTTCTCAGAGTCAGTTTGTAAATAAGTGGACATCTCTAAAAGTGGGATTTTTAGGGGGGAAAGAGGATAATGGAAGTGGATAAAGGATATCTTTTTATCCTCCCCACTTTGGAGGAGAACCCCCTCCCCCAACCAAAACAAACAAAACAAAAAGATAGTCTTTTTCCATGGCTTTTTAAGTTGAAAGACAACAAAAATTTATTTATGGAATTTATTTAGAAATGGTATTGTGTTAGGGCTAGACTTTTGAAACCCCACAGAGGATTGATAATTTGGGAAGACATCTCTCCGTGTGATGAGTCAAGGTCATGGTTACCCATGAATGGCGGAAGCAGGGAAGGGGCTCACGAATCTGCCTGGGGTCCTCACTGTGCCCTCTGCAGAGTGAAACTTCAGATTGCAGAGAGATAAATCGCTTGCCGGACATGCACTGAGCACAGACTAGAGGACAGAGTCCCAGCCACTCACATGGTGGAGACCAAATACAGGGCATTGTTTTCACTCTCCCAAGCCTTCTGTGCTCTGTTCAGACCACAGATTATTATCATTATTATTTGAGATGAAGTCTCACTCTGTCGCCCTGGCTGGAGTGCAGTGGTTTGATCTTGGCTCACTGCAACCTCCGCCTTCTGCGTTCAAGTGATTCTCCTGCCTCAGCCTCCTAAGCAGCTGGGATTACAGGTATGCGTCACCATACCCAGCTAATTTTTGTATTTTTAGTAGAGACAGGGTTTTCCCATGTTGGCCAAACTCCTCACCTTGTAATCCACCTGCCTCGCCTCCCAAAGTGCTAGGATTACAGGCGTGAGTTACTGCGCCTGGCCAGATTATTACACCACATAAAAAAGGTCTGTTACACTCTGGGGTCCATGAGGGGAGAGAAAGATACTCAGAGCCTCTGCAGCACCCAGCCTGTTGAATATCAGCCTGTTTAAGAAATAATTGTTTCAAAAACCGTGATCATTTAAAGAAAACTCTTAGGCAAGGAGTGTAATCTTGGACTCTGCTGAGGTCTGAGTGGCCCAAAGCTTGACAGAATATTTCCTGGGCACTTTTGCTTGGAGTTTCCAAGAGCATTCAGATTAGAGCCAAGACCTTCAAGTCATCAGGAATATCTTTCAGGTTTTGTGTGCATTGACATGATTTTTTTTTTTATTTTTTGTGATAGTGAGGTTAACATTGATGAAGATGGCTATTAATATTAACATAGTTTTTTAAAACCTAAGTCAATATTTATTCCTATTTTTAAAAATTCTTATTTTATAAATCAGTATCCCTGGAAGTAGTTGTAGAATTAGAATTGAAGTATTTTGTAGGCTATTGGTTCTCTTCTTACAGCATAGCTTTGGCTCCTTTTGAGTACAGCATGAGGGAAGCAGATTTGAGGAATTTTGAGTCTGGTGGAAGTTCCAAAACAACCAGTGATGCAAACACACCTTCCTCATTCAAGAATTCATCTTGGGTTCCTGACCAACAGGGAAACAATAACATTATATTTCTTTCCTCTGACTACTCAGGAGAGACAGCACTCTTCAGTTTGTATTCCCCTGGAATTACATTAAGTCATAGAACTTCTCACTTCTAGTAAAATCCAGATGCAGCCATTGTCTTTCTTCCTATCTTAGTATAAATTAGGATATCTCATTACTAACCACATTGCCATTCTTTTTGCCTTATATTTAAAAAAAAAATGCTCCCAGGAAGTACTTCAGGTTTATAGAGTACTTTTATGTACACGATAGAATCAATTTTGCTTGTGATTCTATAACTTAGATAGGAAAAGAATAGACTGAAGTTGAAAGGAATTCTAGTAATCACTCATTTTAGAGATCAGGGCAACAAGGGCCCAAAAATTAAGTGAAGTTCCTAATATCACCATGCGAAAAAAATGTCATAGCCAAGTTTGAAACCACACAGTGAGTGGCTGAGTCAGAATTGGAACCCAAGTCTCCCAGCTCCTGTGCAAAGGAATTAAAGTGGCAAATCTCTCCCTTGTGACCTGCTAAATTCAGAAATAGGAATAGCAGAAAAGTATGCATTTCAGAAAGATTTAAGAATGAAATCAAAAGCTTGTTTTGGTTGTGCCAGTACTAGTAGGGAACATGTCAGCCTGCCCCATAAGGAATATGGGTTTTTAAAATAGTATTCCCATGACTGAGAATATTTAGGTCACAACCTGAACAGATTCTTCTTTAATTCACCCCTCCACTGGTAGAAATAAACCTAGGGACCAAGAATTGCTGAGAGATGGCTTTTAAAGTTAAAAGGGCTGCTCATCAAGCCAAATTCATCTCCAATGACTTAAGTAGATCTCACAATCTGTTCCATTCTCTAGACAAGATATAAGAGAAACAGTCACTTAATTTGAATTTCGAGGTCACATCACATCCTATTAGAGAATCCAAATAGCCAATCGTATGACCTGTATCTTGCTCCTGGGGATATTTAGTTTTGGGTTCAAAGGTGGTGAAATAGCAATGAATTGAAGGGCAACTTAATGGAAATGGTATACAGCTCCGGTTTGTAAGGATTATTCCACTTAATGTGCTATTTATGCCTCATGTTCCTTTTCTGTGCAAGATGAAGCCTTAATCATTTTTCCTTTTGATCAGGGTTTCCTGGCTCTGTTTTGAGATGTATGTATTCTGCCTCACACATTATTAGATCTGCTGCATTCAGCTCTTCTGTGGCCATTTCTTTCTTTCTTTTCTTTTCTTTTTGAAATGGAGTTTTGTTCTTATTGCCCTAGCTGGAATTCAATGGCGTGATCTCAGCTCACTGCAACCTCTGCCTCCCAGGTTCAAGAAATTCTTCTGCCTCAGCCTCCTGAATAGCTGGGATAACAGGTGTGCATCATCACACTGGCTAATTTTTGTATTTTTAGTAGAGACGGGCTTTCACCATGTTGGTCAGGCTGGTCTTGAACTCCTGACCTTGTGATCTGCCTGCCTCAGCCTCCCAAAGTGCTGGATTACAGGTGTGAGCCACCGCGCCTGGCTTCTGTGGCCATTTCTTTTCTTGCCAGTGATCCTTTGATTCACATTTACTTCTAGTGGATATGTGTTGACTTCAAATGTCTTGGGGCCCAATAGGGCAGCAGTTGCTGTGTGCAACAGCTGTTTAGAGCCTGCATAGGCAAAACCCTTCCTGAAATAGGAGCAAGACAGTGGGAAGCCTCACAGAGCAACAGCAAATCAAACGTCTCTGTTGAGGATGGTCTGAGAGGAAGCAATTTGCCTGATTTTTCCCCCAGTGATAGTTCCCTGAATTTCCTTA